ACTTTTGCTTAGCTTCTCTACGCCCTACGCTGCTTCTGAGACATAGATTGCCAAATGAAAGAGGATATAGTGGGTGGTCGGTTAGTCCCTTTGTATTTCCTCACCAGAAAGCCTCCCGCCTCTGAGAATGAGGATCCTTCTTTCGGGATTTCAACTAACCTACCTGTTTTGTGATCAACAGTTTTGATTGTTTCCACCTTTGATGGAGCGGGTTCATCTAGAAGTGTCTCATCCTCCACATCGGCAACAGCCTCCGGATCTTGTCCCGCTTCTAGGAGAGGGGCATCCTGAATGGTGGGACCAGATTGAGTTGAAGCAATCTTACCCTCTCGAAGGGACTTGTAACGGTCCTGCATCGGGAAAACAAAGTTTCCATCGGGTCTCGTGATTTTGAAAACACGGTGCAACTTCACAACATCATCAAAGTCCGTTTCATTCAGCTCTTTCAACGATGCAACAAGGTAATCACCTCTCCATAGAAAGCCGGGGTGGATAACATATCCAACAAATACTCCCGGATTGGACGTGGGATCAAACTTCAAGTCCTTCTTCGGTTTCTGTCTTGGGCCAATCCAGTAGTCTATGCGACGTCCGAACGGCAAGAACTGACCTTTGAACTCTTCTTCGAACCTAAGGTTCCAAGGTGTTCTGGAACCAGAAGGTGGTTCACAAACATTTTGAGATAAACACCAATGCCTTGCGGCGTGCGGCCAGTATGAATGATTCAATCCGGCCTGTGCAAGTGCGACTCGAGTTCCCTCGAGCACGGTTCTGATGCTTCGTTCAGCCACCGCGTTCGATTTGTGAATGTACTCTTGACTGAGGACATGTCTCCAGCCCATCTCTTCAGCTGCAGCAATTAGCTCAGGGGCGTTGTCACTGTAAAACGTGCCAACTTCGTCTGACGAGGAAGTGAAATGCTGAAACGCCTTCACAGTGGCTTCCGTGTTTCTTTTAGCAAAAGGGTATGCATATTTGAAACCGGTGGCAACGTCACTTGTGACAAGGGCAGAGTACTCATCGTCTATGCCTAGTTCCTGTTCGTCTGCGGTGATTATGAAATCGGCTGTGATGTGCTCAGCAAACTTTCGAGCATCAACTTGTCTGGTGGTCATCTTGGCGCATTTGCACACTTCGCAGAATGGATTCTTTGGCTGGTGTGTCATCAGGTGTTTCCGTGATGCTGCTTCCTGCCTTAGGGCACTTTCTGCAAGTGATCTAGGGCTCTTCTTATCGGGATTGCCAACAACATCTTCCCCTGCCAAATCTTTACTCTCTACCGGCTCAGCATGTTCATCTGGTTTGACTTCGATGGGTTCATCCGCCAGAAGTTCAGCGACAACTCTAGCATGCACCTCAGGGTCCTCTAGAGGGGCAATGCTAGGCGTGTACTCCTCTCCCGCTGCATCTTCAGTTTGCTCGGAGGAGGAGTATGATGATTCACTCGATGCACTGCTTCTGCCGACCTGACCTTCCGGTCGGCTTTGCGGCGTGCCTTTGGCGGGACATGCCATGGCTGAGTCGCCATCCCACACGTCGTAGTATGGGACATAATCTCGAACTTTGAGATATATTCTCGTCCCATCAGGCTTGACAAAGAATGGCTTGTCCTTCGCGTACCAGATGAAGTCATAACCCTGATTCATGCACTTCAAACCTACAGAGAGAACAGATGGCGTTTGTGGCAACAAGTATGGATCCGTGTTCCCAAGGTCACCTGCGGCCATGTTGGCCTGCTTTGACGAATCACTTGGTCCATTGGCAGTCATCAACATCACGGGGTCATTTGAATTATAAATTGCATATTCGGGGCAATTCGCACGGGTAAAAAGGTCTGTTCCACTCCCAGTGTCGATAATCCATGAACAGTTTGGAGAGAATCTCTTGCTCGCAAGCGCCGGCTTTGCGCCCATGTCCCTCGGGACGCAGTGGTTGCATCCGATATCGCTGTCACATTCGTATTTGCACCTAGTCGGATGGCCTTCCGATTCACGTCTCACAATGAAGGCGAGCATGGTTGCTCCGAGCCTAGCATCATCTATGCTGATCTCATCATGGAAAAACTGATGGTCGATTGGGTAGACCTTTGAATACACGCGCGGTTTGTCCGCGATCTTAAACTGCTCACCATGTGCTGGTATCCGATTCATTTCAACCTTCGAGCTGAAACGCACGCTCGGGAGGGCAGGCACATGCTTCCAGTCCGACATGAGGTTCCCCTCAGCGATAGGGGCGTTCATCATGGAAGACAGCAAGCATCCCAACACACAAACAGCAGCAGGAGAAGGCTTTCCGGAAGACTTTCCCTTGTGACCCTTCTTCTTTTCTCCCTTCGAATCACGGGAAGTGGATCGAGAGGTCGACTTGGAACGATCCCTGCTCGATTTGCGATGCTTCCGATCCTTTCCCTGCTTCTTATGCTTGTCTGCGGATGGCTCCCTTGACCCTGGAACGGCCGGCTTCGGGTCGATGTGAGCAAACGGGCAGTTTTCACCACGGTCACATCTCCCCTTGGGGTAGAAACGGCACTCTTTCTTCCCCTTTGGCGCTATTCGTTCGGCCTTTACCCTTACCCTTTTTAGGCTTAGCGTCCCTTGACGGGGTCCTACCCCTGGCATCGCCCGATGGCTGTTCATGCTTGTACGTGCAATTGTCCCGCCAACACGACCCATACTTGACAAATGCAATGCAAAACCCCTTAGGCACACGTTGGCTCTCAGCGGCGGGTGCGGCTGGCCTACCCCCGTTTTGCCTAGCAACCCGTTCTCGGTTGCGCTCGAGTCTGGCTCGAGACAGGTATTGCCTCACAGATTCAATCAAGTAGGTGTATGAGCGATCGGCGGACTCTTCCGAGGCGCTCAAATAGACATTCAAATGGTGTTGCATTTGCTTACTTTTCTTCAGCTGATTGTAGAACAGAGCCTCAAGCATGGAGTCATCCGGTGTCTTGGCATTCATCCCTGCAAGGACACCCTCCCAGCTACGCATGAAGGAAGTGAGGTTATCGTTCACGAGCCTCACGTTGAGGAGATCCTCCATGGCATAGGTGGCTCCGTGCTTGATGTTCGTGCTCAGGTGCCCGTGCACCATGAGAAGCACTTGTCTCCCACGAACTGGATTCCTCTTCTGCGCCTCTACCTCCTTGAAGGTGTCGACTTGTCTCGCCAGGTCACCCTGAATGATGTTGGTGAGGACGGACAGCAACTTGGCGTCCAAGGTGAGGAAAGTACCTGGTTCCTTAAGCTCCTCGATCGTAACGGCGGGCTCCCACACTCTGCTGATCCACGTGAAAGCGTCATCGGGGCGATCGGACGCCGCGCATACGGCTTCCCGCACCTTGATGCGCCAATTCCTGTAACTCTCAGGAAGTGGGAAGGAGGGAATGATGATCCTCTCCGCCTCCTTGACCTTGGGCTTGTCATTGTCTGCGTCCACAGTGGTCGTCTGCTTACCCAAGATCTTGTTGAGCTTCTTGCGGATCGCTCGGGCTTTCTCCGAAGATGATGATGAGGATGATGATGTTGAGGAGCTGGACGATGAAGAGCTCGGAGAGTCGGAAGGAGATCCACCCTTTCGTTTCTTGTGGCTCTTCTTTCTTCTTGTCCTTCTTGCTCTTCTTCTTTTTGTCCTTCTTCTTCTTGTTCTTGTCCTTCTTGCTCTTCTTCCCATCGTCATTCCCGTCGTCATCGTCGTCGTCATGATCATCATCATCATCGGGATCGCCGGCAGGTGGTTCCCCACCGCCTCCGCTCTGGCCTTTACCTGCGCCTGATGGATTTCCACCACCATCATTTGGGTTCTGTGCCGGAGATGTCGGTTCGTATTCCTCGGCATCCCCGTCAAGATCATCGGCGGCACCTGGCCCATCACGACGGAGTTCGGTGGAAGCTGACCTGATACGTACCTTAGAACTAAGATCCAGGCCGGGAGGAGGAAACGTCTGTACAGGAGAGGCCTTTGGCCTCAGACCGAAAATCGGAACATTAGAAGAACTACTCTGCTCACTGCGAGATTTCAGTTCATGACGTAGCGCCTCAATGTCCCTCGACTGCTTCATGATAATCTCCCTCATTTCAGCAGCGCTCCTGTCCGCGTCCTCCTTCTGCTTGTTGTGGGTGACTTCCCAAATCAATGAGCTGTTCATACTTCTTCTCAGCTTCTAAACGTTGAGCAACCCACTGCTGCCTTGCCTCGTTGAACTCTCTTTCCTTCGCCACTGCCTCTTGTTGGCATACATTGATGTGGTTCACCGCGTCCTGATCGGCCTTTTTCCTCAACATGGCCTGCTTGGAGCTGATTGATGATGGCGTCGTGGCGTGCCGAAGCATAGGCAGCCACTTCCTCCGTACTCGGACCTGTGTTGACCACATTCACCGTCTGACTATGTTGATATATGTTCGGGGCGCTCACATGATGTTGATGAAGGTGAGTCTCATTCTTAGTCATGTGCGCGTGCATCTCTTGCCCAGGTTGATGTCCGGCGAGAGGTTCCCCTCCGCTTCCCATTGAATCCTCCGGAAGGACGACCGAAGTGATGGGCACAAGCGCATCGCCTTGGTCGGACTCAGGAAAACTGCTTCGGGAGCGCTGTGACGGATTGCATGGCGGTTTCCCTTCCGGATGCCCACCCTTGATCAATTCGTTGGCCACTGCTTCGTTCATCCTTGCTATGGCAGGGTGGCATCCGTCGCCGCTTGACGCCATTGCGGCGCGGGTGAGAGCTGACTGTACAAGGTACCAGCGATACGGCTGATAACCTGTTGAAAGGTGGAATCTACCTAAATGTCAGCACGGGCGGCAGTCAATTTTTCTTGAGCCAGTAGCATGTCGGAATGCCACTACCTATCAACAGAACTCATTAATAAACCGCTTGTTGATTGAAACGCGGCCCCAAAGTAAGCAGGAGTCCTCCTATTTGTTCATCTTTTGTGGGCCAACAGGCCCTTATTTAACCACGTGGTTGACTAATCCGGTTCTCTCTGAAACGCTGGCTGCGGGGCTGCGCCCAAAGCCCAGTCGATGTCTCCGCCGTTGATCTTCCGCTTCACTTGCACCTGCGTGCCTGCAATCTTGTTCAGCGCCACATGCTCCTTTTGTTCAGGGTGCCCTTTCTGCAGGAGGGACATCCTGATATGCTCGAACCTCACTCTTCAAGGTCAACAAGGCTTTGGGAAACCCAGCTTTAGGGGAGTATGGTCCCTATCTAACTGCAAAGGGCCAGGATTAATTGGTTTGCGCGCGTGCTTGCGTGCGTGCGTGCGTTTGTGTGTTCGTTAAGAATGGTCGGCCTTGAAGAAAATGCGTCAAACCAGCATTGTCAAGACACACTGTTGTAGACCTTTGGTTTGTCTGGCTGGTGTTTTGGAGATCTAACCTCGCAATGCCAGTTTAATCATGGCGGACATTCGCATTGGCACACACACACATTGGACATATGCTAAGTCATGGCTTTCGGAGTTGTGCAATGATATACCTTGTCAAACTGATGTATATCTCTATATATATCCGCCGACCCCTTCTCCTCAAAGGGGGAGGCGCACGGGAAGGGCGCGTAGTCATGATTATCATCATGACTGTTGGTGATGCAGAGGATGCACGATGATGGTTATCATCCATGATGACAACGGTGATGATGACGATGATGACGATGATGATGACGATAATCACCACCATGGTGATGATGACATGCTCATCATCACATCATCATTGTTGCGACCTGATTGAAGATGCAGAGGATGCGTAGACATGATGTTGTCGTTCTTATCTCTTTATATACATACGTTTCAAGGGCGATAGAGCCGATTGGAGATGCAGAGGGTGCGTAGTCATGACTATCATCATGACTGTTGGTGATGCAGAGGATGCACGATGATGGTTATCATCGGTGATGATGACGATGACGACGATGATGATGACGACGATGATGATGGCGATAATCACCACCATGGTGATGATGACATGCTCATCATCACATCATCATTGTTGCGAGCTGATTGAAGATGCAGAGGATGCGTAGACATGATGTTGTCGTTTGTCGTTCTTATCTCTTTGTATACATACGTTTCAAGGGCGATAGAGCCGATTGGAGATGCAGAGGGTGCGTAGTCATGACTATCATCATGACTGTTGGTGATGCAGAAGATGCACGATGATGGTTATCGTCCATGATGACAACGGTGATGTTGGTGATGCTGACGATGATGATATTGATGATGACGATGATGACGTCAGCGTTGTGACCTGATTGGAGATGCAGAGGATGCGTAGACATGATTATCATCATGACTGCTGGTGATGCAGAGGATGCACGATGATGGTTATCATCCATGATGACAACGGTGATGATGACGACGATGACGAACGATGATGATGACAATAATCACCACCATGGTGATGATGACATGCTCATCATCACATCATCATTGTTGCGACCTGATTGAAGATGCAGAGGATGCGTAGATGTGATTATCGTCATGACTGCTGGTGATGCTGAGGATGCGCGATGATGGTTATCAACCAGGATGACGATGATGATGACGATGATGACGACGATGACGACGATGATGATGATGACACGCTTGTATCATACATAATCGTTGTCGTGCTTATCTCTTTTATTTTATATACGTTTCAAGGGTGACGTTAGAGCCGATTGGAGATGCAGAGGGTGCGTAGTCATGAGTATCATCATGACTGTTGGTGATGCAGAGGATGCACGATGATGGTTATCATCCATGATGATGACGATGATGATGACGATGATGATGATGATGACGATGATGATGACGATGATGATGATAGATGACGATGATGACGACGATGCTGACGACGATGATGATGATGACGTTAGAGCCGATTGGAGATGCAGAGGGTGCGCAGTCATGATTATCATCACGACCGTTGGTGATGCAGAGGATGCACGATGATGGTTATCAACCAGGATGACGATGATGATGACGATGATGACGACGATGATGACGACGATGATGCTGATGACACGCTTGTCAGTATGTCACATCATAATCCTTGTCGTGCTTATATCTTCTTATATACGTTTCAAGGGTGACGTTAGAGCCGATTGGACATGCAGAGGGTGCGCAGTCGTGATTATCATCACGACTGTTGGTGATGCAGAGGATGCACGATGATGGTCATCATCCATGATGATGACGATGATGATGACGATGATAATGATGATGACGATGACGATGATGGTGACGATATGGGTGATGATGACACGCTCATCATCACATCATCATTGTTGCGACCTGATTGAAGATGCAGCGGATGCGTACATGTGATTACCGTCATGACTGCTGGTGATGCAGAGGATGCACGATGATGGTTTGACGACGATGATGATGATGACACGCTTGTCAGTATATCACATCGTCGTGCTTATATCTTCTTATATACGTTTCAAGGGTGACGTTAGAGCCGGTTGGAGATGCAGAGGGTGCGTAGTCATGATTATCGTCACGACTGTTGGTGATGCAGAGGATGCACGATGATGGTTATCATCCTGGATGACAACGGTGATGATGACGATGATGACGATGATGATGATGACGATGATGATGACGATAATGACCACCATGGTGATGATAACATGCTCATCATCACATCATCATTGTTGCAACCTGATTGAAGATGCAGAGGATGCGTAGATGTGATTATCGTCATGACTGCTGGTGATGCTGAGGATGCACGATGATGGTTATCAACCAGGATGACGATGATGATGACGATGATGACGACGATGATGACGACGATGATGATGACACGCTTGTGTCATACATAATCGTTGTCGTGCTCGTCTCTTTTATTTTACATACGTTTCAAGGGTGACGTTAGAGCCGATTGGAGATGCAGAGGGTGCGTAGTCATGAGTATCATCATGACTGTTGGTGATGCAGAGGATGCACGATGATGGTTGTCATCCATGATGATGACGATGATGATGACGATGATGATGATGATGACGATGATGATGACGATGATGATGATAGATGACGATGATGACGACGATGCTGACGACGATGATGATGATGACGTTAGAGCCGATTGGAGATGCAGAGGGTGCGCAGTCATGATTATCATCACGACTGTTGGTGATGCAGAGGATGCACGATGATGGTTATCAACCAGGATGACGATGATGATGACGATGATGACGACGATGATGACGACGATGATGATGATGACGCGCTTGTCAGTATATCACATCATAATCCTTGTCGTGCTTATATCTTCTTATATACGTTTCAAGGGTGACGTTAGAGCCGATTGGAGATGCAGAGGATGCGCAGTCGTGATTATCATCACGACTGTTGGTGATGCAGAGGATGCACGATGATGGTTATCATCCATGATGATGACGATGATGATGATGATGATGATGATGACGATGACGATGATGGTGACGATATGGGTGATGATGACATGCTCATCATCACGATAACCATCATCGTGCATCCTCTGCATCACCAACAGTCATGATGATAATCATGCCTTGAAACGTATATAAAGAAGATAAGGACTTCAACGATTTGATGTGATATACTGACAAGCGTGTAATCATCATCATCGTCATCATCATCAGCATCATCCTCGTCATCATCACCGTTATCATCATCGATGATAACCATCATCGTTCATCCTCTGCATCACCAACAGTCAAGATAATCATGTCTACGCATCCTCTGCATCTCCAATCAGGTCATTGATGATGTGATGTCACCATGATGGTGGTCATTATCGTCATCATCATCATCGTCATCATCATCATCATGGATGATAACCATCATCGTGCATCCTCTGCATCACCAGCAGTGATGATATGATGCTGAACTGACATGATAATCATCATGACGCATCCTCAGCATCACCAGCAGGCATCATGATAATCATGTCCACGCATCTTCTGCATCTCAAATCGGCTCTAGCGGGACTGATGATCATGATCATGATGATGATGATGAACTGACATGATAATCATCATGACGCATCCTCAGCATCGCCAGCAGTCATCATGATAATCATGTCCACGCATCTGCTGCATCTCAAATCGGCTCTGATGATGATGATCATGATGAGCACCGTGATGATGATGATGATGATGAACTGAGACATGGATGATAACCATCATCGTGCATCCTCTGCATCACCAACAGTCGTGATGATAATCATGACTGCGCACCCTCTGCATCTCCAATCGGCTCTAACGTCACCCTTGAAACGTAGACAAAAGATATAAGCACGACAAGGATTATGATGAGCGTGTCATCATCATCATCGTCGTCATCATCGTCGTCATCATCGTCATCATCATCGTCATCCTGGTTGATAACCATCATCGTGCATCCTCTGCATCACCAGCAGTCATGACGATAATCACATCTACGCATCCTCTGCATCTTCAATCAGGTCGCAACAATGATGATGTGATGATGAGCATGTCATCATGATAACCATCATCGTGCATCCTCTGCATCACCAACAGTCATGATGATACTCATGACTACGCACCCTCATCATCGTCGTCATCATCGTCGTCATCATCGTCATCATCATCGTCATCCTGATTGATAACCATCATCGTGCGTCCTCTGCATCACCAGCAGTCATGACGGTAATCACATCTACGCATCCTCTGCATCTTCAATCAGGTCGCAACAATGATGATGTCCATGATGACAACGGTGATGATGACGATGACGATGATGATGATGATGCTGCTGATGGTGCGGGGTGACCGGCGATAAGCCTCTACTGCAAACGCAACGTCACGGCACATGCTCCCAGCAGCAGCAGAATTGTAGGCACTTACAGCGGCGCATTTTCTTACCAGATTCTTACAAAAATGCACCAAGCCAAGGAAAGAAAACGATCGCTCCAGAATGGGCGCAGGTTCTATGGAAGCGTGCCAATCAAAGCGCATTATCACGATGACTGCTGGTGATGCTGAGGATGCGTCATGAGATTATCATGCCAGTTCATCATCATCATTATCATCATCATCATCACGGTGCTAATGATGATCATCATCAGTCCCATTAGAGC